CTTAAGAACCTAACTTGAAAAACACACCCACACCCATGCTCGCATAATCTCTATTGCAATACTAATGGAACAGGATTTTAATGACACTGAGAACTCCGTATATATTTAATCGACAGTTCTATCTGTACAGTATTTTCTCGGCTAGCACTCATTTTTCCTTTTCTCCAATGAGGAATATCATCATAAGTGGATTGATTATTTAGCTTCATACATGTTCGCTCAGATTTTTTGTAAACATTCTAGAAAAGATGGGTCACTGACATAACATTTCTTTTGCAGATCGTATGCTAGAGATCTTTCTGTTTTTCCCGATCAGTTAAAAAGAGCGTTAACATATGTTTTTGAGAGAGTTTCTCATTAGATAAACGCAATTTGAGAAAATTATTGTTAATTTGGACATTTAATGTTCAGATATAAATAAGTGATGCATGTATTGGTATCAACAAAAATAGAAAAAGTATTTTCCGTTTCATCAGCACATTGAAGAGCAATAATAGTTGCTGGTAAACACTGGTGACCACTTGGACAGAAACATGGATTTTCTCCATTGATATATGTCATAGTTACACCGAGTTCAGGTTTACTATAATTAATGAAATTCCATGCTACACCAGCACCATCAGCACCAAAGGAACCAATCAAGGTGACATGACCCAGGATGTGAGGATTACCTTTGGTACAAATATAACAAACCGAAGTTGGAATTTTCCAGGAATATTGACATACATCATCATTGACTGGTCCGCAAATATTCATTTTATATGTATTAGTAATAACTCCAACATCAACACCGATATAATCACTACCATTATTACGATTTAAGAATGAAAAATCATAACCACCAAAGAAACAACCTTGAATCGATGAATTAGCTTTCTGCTGATCTCCACCAGTTAATTTTCTCATAAAAGCGCGTAAAGTGGGATCAATGATTTTAGAACCATGGGCATCGATGATCCGAACAGCTACATTGTTATTGATGTACCATACTACTAACGTTGTTGTAAACAGAATGATCGATAAAGAAGGAGCTGGATGAAATATAGAAGACATATCGTATGTATGATAGAATATAAGAAAAATGGTGTTCCATATCTGACATTTTCTAAAAATGATGGCTGAAAGAGAATACCAGTAGAATTGATGAGAATGGCTCCTTCTGTTATGATAAAGTACAGTAGATATGCCAGTATTCTCATTTATTGAGGTTCTGTTCTCTAAATGGAATAGTAAGCAAGTTACTCTCTTCACAATTGAAATCAAGAACGACAGGTGTCATAAAACGTGACTATTATCGGTGGCTATATATACTACGATATGGCTATTGTGTATTATGCACCACACTCTAGAAAAAAAGATTTTTTACTGAACTTCAAAAGTTTTGTATTTTTGCACCCAACCGTTTTAAGTTCAGTATAGAGTAAATCCATGGGAACTCGGCAGCTCAACCAGTGACCATGTCAGAATCCTTTCAAACTTTCAGGATTTGTAGAGAATTTTGCGCTGATCATTTTGATAAAAAAGTATTTAGGTTTAAACTTCATTATCACAGAGATATGAATCAAATACAATTTTGAAACTTTCAAGATTTTGGTAAAAATAAAGGTCATCCTCTAATGAAAATAAAAACGTTAGGACAAATTTTTCGCT